TGTCTAGACAAGATTCGATCCGGGATCAGACTTTCAGACTGTGCGCGTGGTTTCAAAAGCCAACTGCCGTTACAACAGTAACGTCACTGGGACAGAAAAACACTCTCAACTTTCTGATGCTTATGGGCTCCAATTATAATTCCTTATAGGTAGCAACATGGTATTACTGGCACCCATTATGTGTTGAGTTTTTTGTTATGTGTTGAGAAAGAATGTCTCACTGCAGAGAAAACAACTCTATTCACCGTTCTTTTGACAACATTGTCGCTCTTAATTGTTGTAGTAAGCAGTCTCGGACAAGATGACTTGTGAACATGTATCAGCGAACAAGGATGCGCTTGGTTAATAGTCAAACAGAATCATTCATAATGATTCCTACTACACATTATTCATAAATAAGGTCCACTCTAAATTTTTGCTATCTCTGACGTCTGAGGAAGGAGCGAAACGAAGCGCATCAATTATTTTGTTTATAATGGTTTTTCTTTCTTAATTGCTGTGCATTTTTGAAATGTGCTGCTATCACCTAATAGATTCCTCATCACGAAAAACCTTGATAGTGTTTTTCTGAAGAAATTCCCCCCTTCAAGTAACCCAATTAACTTTTTCAGAACGAATTTTCACCGTTTCATGAATATCGGGCCACTCATAAAAAGTTTCCATTTCTCATGATCCGTGAAGGGAATCAGGGAAGCGGGGATATGTGAGCTCAGTCGACATCGAGTTTACCATACCTCGTGTTACTCGCCTCTCTTCCCAGTAACAAGCTCAAGCCAGAGCACTTACTGAAGTGGGATAGCTGAGGAGCAGAATTTCCTCCCCTATTGATTGGCTCATACTGCATAAGCAACCAGACTAGCAGCAGACTACAGCCAGTGGAAAACTCTCAGTCAAGGAGGCCATCGGTGACGGACTTGGAGAGCATGCGCTCTCTCGCGTTAGTTAATCCATACAGCGTAGCCTGCTATGTGGCCGTAACACCTGATGTTTCAGATGCACAGTTCATAGAGGTTCTCGCTCCTCCGGGTTGAAGCTTTGCAAAGATTCCCTCATGAGTTGATCACTGATGACAGGAGTGCGGCACGAGTCCCGTCTACAATTTGTGTCCAGCTCCATCCGTACGCCCTGGTTGAACAAAGCCACTACTGCAGTTGAGAAGCACAGGTTTCATGACAACCACACCTAGAATCTCCAGGGACTGGATCGGACAGAAGAGGGTGAAAAGTGAAGAAATTCACCACAAGGTCGTGCTCCACCTTTTTGGAGCGTTCTCGAGTTGACCACTGGAGACATCTTCCTCATTACAGCAATGAAGTCAGCCAAGGCTAGAACAGGGCAGAGATTCACGACGGAACTCCGACAGCTGTCCTTAAAACTCGAAAAAGTGTGTTCGCTTCACGACAAGTGAGACGTGGCCTTTCGAAAAAGACGCTACTCTAGGTGTCGAGGCTTGACCGGAACGTCCTACATGCCCACCGTGTAGCAGAGATCAACCCTTTCTTGAGGGTTGTTTGCTCCTTTGTTCAGCAATCATCTTCCACACAAAAAAATACGATTCCCATAGCACCTCTAAATCGACCTCACTGCCTTTTTCAGCTCGTAACTGCCAGCCTTCTGGGAGTTAAGCGGCCATCGGTTATCGTTGGCAACAAGTCACTGATAGTTGTGGTGCATATATTGATGATAGAGTGCATGTGCTTGAAATATAGTAGGCTCAAAACGGTGTTCAAAATACACACGAACTTCTGAAGCAACCTAATAACTTTATTTTGTGACAATCTCGTGAACGTCTGAAGTAACCCTTAAAGGCAAACCCCGGGATTAGCCCGACTAGTAGGAAGGATACCGCGAGGGAAATTGTAAGGACCCGTACCTACCTAGATCACTCCAGCTTCGTCGCGAAAATTGCGCGGTTAGGGCGCTAATCCTTACGGGCCTCCAACCATCGAACGCTTCCCACCCACCGCGAGATGTGGTGAGATCAGCGTGCTCTCTCAAACGACGTTCTCTCTCGCGTGTTTTGACCTCTCTGATCGCCCTGTCTCGCCATCGTACCACATCCGACCTTTTTGAAGGTTAAGGCCTTAATTTCAGCGTTCCCAAAGAGTTCTCTGCTTTCCTCTCCACTTTCAGGTCGCTCCGCAGCTAAGCTATCACTGCGAAGCGCTCTTAGCACCAGTTCAATTCTGAAGTTTGCCTTTAGAAAAAGATTTATACTTCTCACAAAAGCTGCTACTGTTTTATTAGTTTCTAGTTCTGCGTGAAGGGCTTTAACCTTTTCTTCAAAGAACGAATACGAAGCATCCATAAATCTAGCTAATGAGTATCTTTGAGTCACGTACAAGTATTCAGTTTCACAGGCAGATTGTTTGTTTCTGATAATGTACTAGGTTACTCAAAAATCGTCGACTATTACGACAACATATCAGCTTAGAAAGCGGTATACTGTAATTAAGCGATATGAGAAGACAGGAAGAAGCATAACACTGATTGGTGATTGAAGCTAAAATAATGTCTCCTTTATCACCGAGTGTCAAAAGATAACACGAGGATCCAGTTAACTGTTTTGGGTGTGTATTGCGCGCGCCTGGAAGACCCCCAAGAGCACATAGAAGTGAATGTGAACACTCCGGCTATTAGGCAAAAAAGCCAGTATGCGGAATGCCTCACTCGATCAATGAAGATCGATGAAGTCAAAGAAGCAAGGAGAAAAAGCAAGTATCCCCTGAGGTATAGTAGGTGTGTCGAAATTTTTCTAGTATTAGGGAAACTCGAGCATTGATTGACTCCAAATGTGACTGTGAATTACAAGTACAATTCACAGCACTGCATGATTGTAGAAAAGCAAAAATGGCATCAATGGAGCAAACGCTTTATTTCTCCCTTTTTTTGTTTTCGAGAGATACAAGAGTGTCATTGATTTCAAAATTCTCAATTTCAGATGCTCGCGGCATCTAAAATTGAGAATTTCAAAGGGCCTCGTAAATCTAGTACTGATGCCAATTCATGACGGATCCGGTTACCAATAAAGGAATAATCGATTGAGATTCCGCTGTTTCTCGAATTGGGATCAGTAGGCTCCAAGAAAGCAACAGCATTTGGTTATCATGGAAGTAGCACTTCGCTCTGTCATTACATTTTTTTGGTGAAATATTTGTTGTTATTAGGGTGAAACTGCTTGAACGTTCTGAATGAACTCTTCCTACAGTATCCTCACATTGACTTCTTGCTATTGGGGACGAAAGGAATTTACGAGACGGATCAGAAATGTTCAAATTAGATTAGCCGCAAGATGATGTTGTGCAATCATCATTCCGTTGACTTCATCGTAGAACGCCGGATGTCGGAAAAGCATAGGTCTTTCGCGGTCAGAAAAAAAAACTTCGGAAGGTTAAGAAGACTACGAAGGGTTGTTTCGAATCGCGAAAACTAAAAGAAAAGCATGTTTCTCAAAAGATTACATCCATCCATTATTGCATACGTGGCTATGAAAGCATTAAAAAAATAAAAACGATGAAAAGCTGGGAACTAGCTACTCTGCCACGCACTCGACATAAATGCAGTACTCTCCGTAAATTTCAAGATTCACCTAGAATAAATTCCCATTAAATATAGAGTGGCAATGATTTTTATAACTATCAGCTAGGCAAGCTTGCCCTCTCTGAGCTCTTTAGTAACTATGGACTCTAGAGAGCGCGGAAACTCTACTGGCTTGGGCGAATATGGGTCACTTTCCCTTTTGCGTCTTTGTGACTGTAATAAGGGTTTGGTATTTTGGAGTTCTGGAAAGATTTTGGTGGTTCATGTAGTGGTGGAAATGGAACAGGGATGAGGGCGAATTTGGAGCATTTTCTGTTCCGTTATTCACTCCGGGTGGTGAGGAGACCTGTGGACAGTCCCTTCCACGTGTGGTGCCGACGCGTCGCAGTATTTCTCAACGCCACAGTTGACCCTCGAGCTTGCTCAAAGTTGAATTGTAATATTATCTTGTGCGCCACTTCTGATCGCTTCATCTCTGTCACTTCGATTCTTCGACGTCGTATTAGGTACAGGTAGTTGAAGCCCTCCTTCGTTCTGGAAACTTCACCGTTTGAGCATTATAAATTTATACCTGGACAATAGTTTCTGAAACGATTTGATGTTTATACAGTGCCTTGCTATTACTATGTCATGTTGACTTGCGGTGCCTAGAATAGGCACATCACCTATAATTTCCAAATGCCTGAGCAAGCGGCCCTAAAAGTCCTAGTTGGTTCGGTGACTAGGCTTCCACTATTCACATTTTTGTTTTAGTATACAGTCATTCTATTGGAAATAAGCATGAGATTGATTTTATACTGATAGACTGTAATGTGTGATGACATTTGCTACACTTGTGCGAGCTTCGTTCACATGACTATTACACAGGATGCTCTATGAACACTACCTACACCAACTTTTTCCACTGCGGAAAGCGCCGGTGCGTGTAGTGGACACCGAACACCTTTGAATGACTTTCCGTCAATTACGCCCAATAATTTCACCAAAACCGCTCCACATTTCAGCCATCTCAACCACTGCCTTTGACTTCCGTTGAACATACTTGCCAAGTTTCATGACATTATAACGTACATACATTAATCTGCACACTGTTCGCTTTCCTTGGCCCGCTCAGGTTCAATAGTGTTGCTCTCTTGTAGAGCGAAACCTAACATTCGTAGATGAACACAGTACATTATTTATTCGTTACAAGTAGAAAAAGAGAGAAAAAAGATGAAATCGGAGAAAGCTAGCGTTCATTAACATCGTTACACAATATTATTTTCAAATGATGTAAACTTTCCGCTAAACTTTTGCTTTTAGCAGTTGAAGCTATGGTGCGTTTGGTTCTGCTTTGTTTGGATGTACTTCTCGGGTCGAGTTTGGACTTTGACTCCAACAGCCAAGAATTTTCGCGCTGCGAGAAACGAAAAATTTGCTTTTTTTCTGGGACCCACACCACTTTAGTTTCTCTGCACTCATTAGTACCATTCCTTCCGTAGCATGTCGAAGTACCGTTGGGAGGTTTCTTTAGTATTCACCATCATGTCCATACCAAAAGTGGACTTCGTATTTACTGCCCGATGGTTATCTTCTGGTCGAAAGCAAATCTGAAAAAGTTGGTATTGCAAGCGGCCATTTAGTGGTTACTTACATGAAAAAAAATGAAGACTGCGGTCACCTGATGAGTGAAATGTATACAATCTCATGACCATTCAAGACGATGAACACTATTTTGTTATTACTCCTTTTATGCAGCCCCCTTCAAGCACAATTAGAGGTTCTTGAAAGGCTGCACCTTGCTTGTACGATGAGTAGAGCTCAGTAATTGCGTCGTCCATTTTGTGCTCAACTTTAAATGAAGTTGATGCAGAGATAAAAAGCGTGAGCTTCAGAAGTTCGCTGACGTACATAGTGTAATCTACGACCCATATTAATGAGAAACTGAAAGCCGGACTGGAAAAGTAATTCTCCTTGAAGTGCTCCTTCACAAACGGATATTCGCTCTCGTACAATATCGCCACTACATTTGAAGTTGAAGCCATTTTCACAAGCTCCAAAAATGTTTAATTTTGTGTCACCCTAAACAGTTGTGTCATTTCCTTGGTCAAGCTTTCGAGTGTAGTTTTATGGAGGCCGTAGCCTTACATCTGGAAAATTGTTGAAATCCTATAGTTCTAACAACTTTGCTATTGCTTCAGTATTGACGCCAACGACTCCACCTTCACGGCTAAATCATGGTCAAGCGGCTGAGATCGAATGGAGCCAGCCGTTCGGACGGAAATTAAAAAAAAAACATTGAATCAACGTTCAAAAAAAATTTCTTCGTGTATTGTGCCAGTCTGAGTTGTTGCTGGTTGTTTGTGTGTGAAATGAGAGTATCTTTTAAAGTGATGAGGATTTCTTTTCTTATTTGTGTTGTATAAAGAGTGCGACAAGACTATTCACTCGAGTCATCCTTAACAGGATCGGCAGAATACTAGATGAAGGACAGCCATGCGAGCAAGCAGGGTTCCGAAGAGGGTTCAGCACGATCGACCATATCCACACGGTTACGAGACTCATTGAAGTTTCACGGGAGTACAAGATGCCGCTTTGTCTCACGTTCATCGACTTGAAGAAGTTGTGGGCAACAAATAGGATACAGAAGCACTCCTACTCAGTACAGAAGGATTTCTCGTGAACTCTATAGCAACTTTACAGAAAGAATTTCACCATTCTACAAGGAGGTCATCATCGACGTCAAGAGAGGGGTTCGACAGGGCGACACCATCTCGCTCTTCAGCGCCGCTCTCGAGAACGTCATGCGTCAACTGGAATGGGAAGACATGGGAGTGAAGGTCGACGGCCGGCAACTACACCACCTTCGTTTTGCTGACGACATCGTTCTTATAACATCGAGCAAGCGGAGCGAATGCTGGCTGATTTCGACTGCGCCTGTGGTAAGGTCGGTCTACAGCTGAACCTAACGAAGACGATGTTTATGAGAAACGGATTGGTTCCTGATGCCCCATTCACGCTCAACGGAACGAACATCACCGAATGCTCCAGCTACGTGTACCTAGGTCGGGAAATCAATATGATGAACGACCTAGAGCTGAAAGACGCTTGGGGAGCGTATAAGAACATCGAGGGAGTAGTGAAGAAGACGAAGAACATCCGGCTCCGTGCCCACCTCTTCGATTCCGCTGTCCTTCCTGCCCTAACCTACGCCTCAGAGACTTGGACTCTGCGCAGGCAGGACGAGCATGCGGTCAGCGTTATCCAACGCGCTGTCGAGAGGACGATGCTAGGAGTAACCCTATACACGCAAGTGCAGAGGGAATCCGGAGTGCCGAACTACGCCAACGATCGAAGATCAGGGACGCTGCCGTTTTCGCCAAGGAATCGAATAAGGTGGGCCGGACACGTCATGCGATTTTGCGATGACCGTTGGACCAGAGCGGTTACCGACTGGATCCCTCGGGACGTCAAACGAACACCTGGACGACCGCCGGCCCGATGGTCAGACTTCTTCACGAAAGCTCTGAACGAAAGGAATGAAGGGCTTCGTGTCCCTCGAGCAAGGAGGATCCACTGGACCACTCTAGCACGCGACAGGGACGAATGGAGACGTTGCTGGCGCCCGCTCGAGCAATTCGATGATCAACAGGACGAAGATATGTAAATATGTAAATAGATATGTAAATATTAAAAAGATCTCCACACGGCTAATCCTTTCTTGATAACTGCTAGTAGCTAGAATACTAGGATGTTTGAGAAATATGTACTGCAAAATGGTTAATAATGTTATTCAAAATAAGTTCACCCTCTTAACGATGCTCTTGAGTTCCTTCTGCCAGAGTTCGTTGTAGAAGAGCATCACCGATGGCATCGTGAAACCGTACCTTGAACGACAACCTTTGGAGTTTAAGTGACCTCTGACAGTGAGGCTTGTGGGTGGGCATGCGTTTAGTTTGTACTCGTAGTCAAGGACTCAATCGCGCAATCAACACTGCTCTACCCTGTACTCTTGCAACGCATTTGCTGACCTTGGAGCTGCTTATTCAAACTTGGAGAAGATTCAAAAGTTACACGCCGAGTACTTTTTAACCCTTTCGGCCCTGGCGGTGGCAATTGCCACCACCAAATTCAAACGCTTGCATTGCCGCTGAAACAGCATGGTTTTTCTAATCCTGCTAGAGGTTGCTTCAGTCAACCTTCCCCTTCCTAATTATGAGCTAAACCTGCCATTTCATTGTGTGTTGCTGTTAGTATTACAAGTATTTGTGTACAAGTGCAACAATGAATCGGCGCTGACCCCCGCAACCGGCCAAGTAAGTGTGACTTTTTCTTAAAATACTTGAAGTAGATCCATTCCTAAATCAAAATTATGGGTTATAATGTTATGCAAGATTATAAACTTTTTCGGCATAACTATGAAATTTCGAATTGTTTCGACATAAGCTTAAAAACTAAGAAGGTGGGCCAATTTTCAAAGCTTCTTAGTTTCTTTGTTTGTGATCGAATAGCTTCCAAATTTCGCCATAATGATACCTATATGCTCACAAGTAATAAACAATAGCTAGAAGAAAAATTTCTCCACGGGGAAAAATTCAGGTCCGAAAGGGTTAAAGAGTACCAAGTTTCTAGAAAATAGCGAGAAAATATCGTTTTCGTGAAGTTAATGAGAAAATTTTGAGAAACGCGAGTTTTGCACTCCAAGAAAGCATAGTTTACTTCTGCATTATTTGAGAAAGTTTGTAGTGGTATCGAGCACTAGAACGCTTTCTCTTCGACCAATAATTGATGAATTGAGCTGATTCGTCCCGTGTGGATGGACCGTTAAGGTTTTTTGACAAATGGCTAGGAAAATTTTTGCAAAGCCTAAAATTCCTTCGAGTACCTTGAGTTAGGAAACTTCGTGTAGCGTTGCAAGCTGTGAAATTTGCTCTATTGGATAGCTGATAAAATTATTTGAAACATACAGTATGTCAAAATTGGCCTCGTTGAGGAATTTGTTCGATTGCCACCGAGAAGTTCGCTGTGGTGAAACGCCTCAAACGTCCGCAGTTTTTACATGAAGGTATTTGTGCAAATAGAAAAACCATTCCTGGATTTACAAGCACTTTGCCTCTTCACATGTGTTAAAGCGTATTGTAAAGTGTGTTCTGCCTAAACGTTCATATATTTATGGAGTTCACGCTTTAAATTGCATTTCTTGTTACGCGATAGACCCCTCCTTTCAATATAAACATACCTTCGGAAGCCTCGTTGCAGGAACGGGAATCAAAGCGCACGACTGTGGTCGAACTCGTTCAATAACGTGCGTGCGCTCGACATTCGACGCAAAATGCGTTCTCACCCATTTATAAATAAGCTACCGCTGCTCTAGTTATTGCTCATCCCGCCTCTCACGCCGTCCCCTCACAGTGGACCTAACGCATCCTCCCTCTTCGTCGAGGATTTCTAAACACACACTTGAACCAGGCTATAGACTGTGCACTTCCAGCCCTGTACCAGGCTCCTCATGCAGCACGACATCATCTCCGTCGAAACTAGTAGAATCAAACTTACATCAAAACTGAATAGTTTAAGACAGTGTTGGCCATGTTCTTGACAAATATTGTCACGTCGAAATTGTCAATCGCAACTGCTCCGATACAAACCATGTTAAAACCCAAAACGCTCAGAACGATTATCTTGAATCTCTGAATCGAAAAAGATGAATGGCAAATAGCTTCCATCATTCCATAGCTGAAAAATTAAATATGCTCACTAAAACTTTTTTGTACTTCTACATCTTGCGATCACAAATTAAAATTCGTAATCCCTGTTGTTACCAGAAAAGATTCCGAAACATTTTTTTGCACATGTGACATGCGGAGAACAGAAACCCTTAACACATCTAGGTACTTAACATTTTTACCAACTTTGCATGTTCTTATATTTTCCGAAATTTGATAGCGCTTTGCCAACGAATACTCCTGCACCGATAGCCCTTTTGAAATAGTCAAGGTTAATTCGCTCGTTGACTGAATTGACCTGTAAAAAAGAAACAACAATAAAACAAGTAAAACGAGATGCCGTAGAATACTAATAGTATTTACAGAAAAATGAGATATTGATAGCGAGAGTTTCGGTTGAAGCAACAACTCTGATGGATTCATACTTCTGCTACTAGTGTGAAGAAAAGATGCCGCACTTGAGAATATACGAAGCGTCGTTGAAGCAAAACCTTTCGGAAAGCTGTCGCGAAAGAGTTCGATAGGTGCCATTTTCTCCGCGCTCCGCCATTTTGCGCCGTAAACCGATATGCTAGCTGTGGAGATATCGTGATTGGTCGCGTGGTCATCGCGCGCTTGTGTGATTGGCTGCGTGGTCCTTGCGTGATGGCATCTGGTCGTGTTGAAGGAATTGCTGCCTGCTATTTGATTGGAGTTAATTACTTAGGTTGTTTGACTATTGCATTTCTTTGTATTAGCCTATTGAAAATAATAGGGCCTTCTTGGTCCTTTTTTGTCTGCCACGCGGTAATTTGTTGTTGACGTACAACACCTCAAACTTGGGTAATTAAACTTTAATATCATATTTCAAATCTCAAATTGCACGCACGACCTGAAAAATCAATGTTCCACATAAAAAACTGTGAAAAATGAGCAAAATCTACCAAAAATAGAATCTAAACCCTTTTATGCCATGAGCGAGTCGCCCCAATCTTCCTAGGTCCAAAAAAGGTGAAATATATGTAAAAAAGTTAAAAGTCGCATCGCAAGAGAAGAAGAGAGAGCATCGCAAAGAGTAGTCTGTCGCTAGATCGCATAGGGATGCCCCCCTCGCAAAGTGGACGCCCGCAGAAAAGAGAGATAACGGCAGCACAACACCACGGCTTATTTCTGATCCGCGAGCATTTATACTGTGTTGCTGAGAGCTCAGAACGTCCTCTCACAACATCACTGTTGAAGTTATGCCGATAATGCTCTTCAGCTTAGCCACAGCGGAAACATAAGAAGATAGCAAGATCTGATAGTGTGGGAGACGTAATGGAATTTATCCCTTCGCACGAACTCGCGGATTCCGCGTTACTGGACATAAATTGTGCAAAAACGCTATGCTTTGTCAAAGGTTAGCTCAAAATTTCATGC